TTAAAAAAAACCCTAAGTCCGCCTCCTCCTTAGCTAGCATACGCTACCTTCTTGCCGCACGAATTCGCATCACGTCGCATCGCAGTTTTGTGAACAAGACCGTAGTAAAAAACCCTGTTCATCAAACTAGTACCTACCTACAGAGACGATCATAACATTTGTTGATATTTCGACAACCCTATGTGTGTGTAAGTAATGACACTTAATTAACTGAGCACACCCCTACTCTTATGGAACTGCACGCATTTAACCCCATAGCTCCAATTTTGGGGTTACGTCAGATTGCAAGTCTACAGGGTTGTTATATTTACACGTAATCGTTTTGTTTTGACTGGTATGTCGTGGTGGCCCGGAGGTTTAAGACGCTGGCTTCTCATACATGAGAATGCGGGTTCGAAACCTACCAACGGCAAGTACAAATGTGACTTTTACCGAGTTATATGTACTTTCTAAGATTATTTAAACACCACTGACAAACGGTGAAGGAAAACATCGTGAGGAAACCTGGGCTTATAATTTCTAATTATAAGTTTGTAATCGCCAACCCACATTGAGCAAGCGTGGTGATTAATGCTCAAACCTTCTCCATGTGGCTTTGCTCAGCAGTGGACATTTATAGGCTGTTGATGACATGACCTTGATGGTGCGGTCGTTGGATTTGTATCTATCATTTGTCTTTTGTTTTGACTGCCTCGTTGGCCGAGTGGTCGCAAGTGTGACTGCCGGGCAAGGGGTTAAAATTCTCAGTAGTAGCACGGAGTCTAGAAATGTGCCCGGTATGGCAATAGGCTCACCCCCTATTACATGGGACTCATGACATAAATAGTGAAAAGTGGGTGTTACATTGTACAGTCGCATTAAGTGCCGTAATGTACACCTCTGCCTACCCCTTCGGGGATAAAAGGCGTAAAGTTATGTTTTATGTGTATGATTTGTCTTTTGTCATGATTTGATTACGACTGAAAGGGTTAGTCAAATCTTTGGTTTGAAGTCGATTTTTAACATTAAGGCTGGTTATAGTGTCGCACTGAAGGCACGCATACCATCAGCACTAATGGTTGAGTTGGCTTTGGTTAGTTTTCCTACCTAATCCATTTGTCTCGAATGGCAGCTAGGCTCTATCTACCATTATAGAATACTTTATTACGGATTAAAGTTCATCATTATCGATCCAAGTTTCAAAGAACAAACAACTAGTATCTACTATATAAAAATAAGTCAGTTTTCCTTCCTGACGCTATAATTCCAGAACGCACGAACTGATTTCCACGGTTTTGCAATCGTTGGAAAGGTTTCTTGCTCCGTGAGGTTTTTAGCAAAGAAAATTCAGATAAAAGAGTTTTCTTAATCTGTTTAATCACCAAACGAAATGTTACATAAAACGAAGCCATCTGGTGGCGAAACGGAGTTCGCCGGGTTTGCTAGTTTTGTTATAAAATCTTCACAAAATACATAAAAAAAATCCATAATATATTGACACAACTAATTGCTGTAATAGCAGGGAACCCCTTTATAACAATTAGGCACCATCATTTGGAACAGGTGTGCTCATCCCCACGGCCGCAGGTGCAATGGTGTAGATTAACTAACTCCCTGTCATTTCGGGGGTCGGCAGGGCAATTAGGCACGTGAACAATTTTCATTTATCGTGTATTTTAGCTGCGGTTTTGACAGTGGTTAAAAGAATATGGGCGATGGATTGGTAAGCCATAAAAAATATTTGCTAGCCATTTTAAGCGTCTCCCATTGATTTTCAGATCAGCCGGTTAATAGGGCGTTATACAAGGTGTTTTTTTTTGAAGCCGTGTCATTTCTCAGGGGCATGTCACAGAACTCATAAAGGTTCAATGTAAGAGAAAATTTCGGGCCAATTGTTAAAAATACGGCTATATAATAAATCGTTGAAGTTAGACAGTATTTCAGAAAAAGCGTTGGAGTTTTATGGAATTAGGAATAATATCGATTACGTTTTTGAGTTTGTGTGTTAAGCCGCGTTATAAAGGTAGTTACAAGACGGGGCAGTGTGTTCATGGCGGAATGGCAGCAACGACTGTCGCAACCGAGGGCTGGGCTCGCTGCCATTGCAGCGGTAAGACCCCTCTTTGAGGAGTGGCTTGAGAGACGCTACGGCGTCCTCACCTACCGCCTGACGCAGGTCCTCACCGGACATGGAAGTTTCGGGAGGTACCTGTGTCTGATGGGGCGGGAGGAAACGCCCGGGTGTCATCACTGCGAGGACCGCCCTGAGGACACGGTGGAACACACCGTAGCGGAATGCCCTGCGTGGGCTGAGCACCGCCGTGCCCTCAGGGAAGTGATCGGCGATGGCGACCTCTCGCGTCCGGGCCTAGTGCAGGCCATGATGCGGAGCGAGGGGGACTGGGATGCCGTCTCCTCCTTTTGCGAAGCAGTCATGCTAGCTAAGGAGGAGGCGGGACGCGTGAGGCAGCGAAGCGCTGCCTCCTCGCAACCCAGCCATCGCGAAGGACACACCGGGCGTCGGGGATCGCGGGACGATCTCCGGCCACCGTAAGCGCGGGCCTGCGGACGGCGAGCATGGGTGGCTCCCCGTCCGACCAGAAACAGACCCGAGCGTACGGCGCGTCGCGTTCCGCGCGCGCCTCAAAGAGCCATCAGACCACCACAGATGGGGCCCAATAGGGCCGATGCCGATTCGGAGTCGCGGAGAACCTAACGGGTAACCGGGGCTCCGGCTCGACGTGCAGGAGAAGGAACGGGGTGGTTTTTAGTCAGTAAGAGTCTGACACTCCCTTCCGCCTCACCCAGGCGGGAGCAGTCATTCGATGATTTTCCCCCCTTAAAAAAAAAAAAAAAAAGGCTTAATTTACTCTGTCTCCTGCAGTAATTCACCGAGAGAAGTGGAAACTATGGTTTTTTTTTATCTCCTATTATAATTTCTTCAGATTCATGTCCCTGAGGCGCGCCAGACTTCAGTGTTCCGGTGTTTTCACGTTGTATCTACTGTAGATCCTGGCTTACAGGAGTTGCAGCGGTTTTGGGAGATTGTGGCGGGCTTGAGCCATTTAAAAAAAAGAGCTCCGACATAAAACAAATAAAATATCAATACTTCTACACACAAAATCACAATATTTGACCAGTATTAAAAACGATAATGATCGCTGATCGCAAGGTGACCACACGTGGCGTCGTTCAAATGTAACACGTCAGTTTAGGGGAACACTGCAACATTACGGACTAATTCGTGTTAAATTATTAAGTAGGTTGTGTTAGGGGAACGTGTGTAAGCGAGGTCAATGTGTGCGTGATAAATATTTGTTTTTTTAATAAAGATACCTTAGATGTTTATAATGTTTGTTATCTAATTTAACTAAACTCGCGGGTTACTCACGTAAATATACTGAGAAAAGCTATACTAGTTTCGAACCACAGAGGGACCGCGACCGCGCACAAACGAACCGAACCCGAGACCCCCTGCCCGGCAGTCGCACTTGCGACCACTCGGCCAATGAGGCATAATATACACCTCTGCCTACCCGTTCGGGGATAAAAGGCGTGATGTTATGTTATGATATTTTTATTAGTCACAAATAGATATCTGGATTAATCTCCAGCCTCCATTTTACTCTCCATACCTTCAACAATTTCGTGAAAGACGGACAAATAACTACACACACTTTCACACATTTACATTTACACGCTAGGCTGCGCGACATCTGCTCATGAGGAAGAACCTCTCTGTGGTTCGAAACTAGTAGAGCTTTTCTCAGTATATTCACGTGAGTAGCCCGCGATTTTAGTTAATTTAGTATGTCTCACGATAGTTATTATAAAAACTTTGTTATCTAATGTTGATTTCAATTCAAAATCTTTTGTTAGGTGAGGTGAGGTGAGGTGCACATTACGGCACTTAATGCCACTGTACAATGTAACACCCACTTTTCACTATTTATGTTATAAGTCTCATGTAAGAGAGAGTGAGCGTATTGCCATATATCTACCGGACACTATTCCAGACTCCGTGCTACTACTGAGATTTTTTAAAAAAACCCCAATAATACTTTACCTGACCCGGGAATCGAACCCGAGACCCCTTGCCCGTTTTTTTTCTTCTCTAGTAAAACAAAACTCTAGCAAAACTGCGATGCGACGTCGCATCGCAAAAATGTGCGAGCTTCCTCTACGCATCGCAAGAACTTGCGAATTGATTCGCATCGCGCATCAAAATCTTATCTTCCCGAAATCTTCTTTGTTTCTTGTTCCTGTATCTCCTAAGCAATAACAGAAGTGCACACATCTTTTTACGATCCATGTCACGACCTAGTTTTCAATTTAAAATAAGTTTAGTACGGTTGACGGTCGTCGAAGGAATGGTCACCCTGGGAGACGCTTTGTCGCACGAAATCGCATCGCAACAATTCGCAACGTAATTTTTTGCGGTGCGAATTCGCATCGATTCGCAGTTTTGTGTACGAGCCTTTATTTCGTTGCGGGAACCAATACAGTTATGTACTCATGTCCCTGGGACGCGCCGGACTTCAGTGTTCCGATGTTTTCATGGTTGTATCTACTGTAGATCCTGGTGTTTTGGGAGGTTGTGGGGGGCTTGTTCCTGTAAAAAAGTTCAAAATATTTAGATTAAAGATTCATTTTTGAATCAGTTATTAATTTCTACCGTATATAATAGTTACACCGTGAAATCTATTCCGTTTTCGTCGCCAAGTAAAATGGTTCTGTATTGCTAATAAGTACAATAGTGTTCAAAGAAATAAAATGCTTAAAACAAAAAATAACTGATGATCCATTGCATAAAGCAAACTTCGAAGGCGCATAAGAACTCATAGTACATTTTTGAACGGGGGGAAATCATAGAATGACTTCTCCCGAGCGAGGAGACGCCCTAGGAATTTTTACAACACATTTAACAGAAACCAGGTAGCAGTGTTGTCTAAATAAACCATAAGTAGATTTACTATCTACTAAGTCTAGCTTCGATACTAAAATAATTTGTTTTCTTCCAGATGTGCACAACGTAGTCAACCCATTACTTGCGGCGTTACCTCCTCAACTTCACTGCTTACCTCCTTATTGTCATCATCTGCCTCCTAGGAATACTTCATGTAAGTTACCTTCATTCTCTGTTTTTTCTATGGTACTAGCGACCCGCCCCTGCTTCGCAAGGGTGCAATATGCGTGTATTCACTACATAGTATAAAACGAAATGGCTCTCCTGCACGTCGAGCCGGAGCCCCGGTTACCCGTTAGGTTCTCCGCGACTCCGAATCGGCATCGGCCCTATTGGGCCCCATCTGTGGTGGTCTGATGGCTCTTTGAGGCGCGCGCGGAACGCGACGCGCCGTACGCTCGGGTCTGTTTCTGGTCGGACGGGGAGCCACCCATGCTCGCCGTCCGCAGGCCCGCGCTTACGGTGGCCGGAGATCGTCCCGCGATCCCCGACGCCCGGTGTGTCCTTCGCGATGGCTGGGTTGCGAGGAGGCAGCGCTTCGCTGCCTCACGCGTCCCGCCTCCTCCTTAGCTAGCATGACTGCTTCGCAAAAGAAGGAGACGGCATCCCAGTCCCCCTCGCTCCGCATCATGGCCTGCACAAGGCCCGGACGCGAGAGGTCGCCATCGCCGATCACTTCCCTGAGGGCACGGCGGTGCTCAGCCCACGCAGGGCGTCTGTCTGTCCCTATATATGCTTAGATCTTTAAAACTATATGCAACGGATTTTGATGCGGTTTTTTCGTAGATAGAATGATTCTTAAGGAAGGTTTATATGTAAACTAGCGACCCGCCCCGGCTTCGCACGTGTGCAATATACATAATATATTATACATATAAACCTTCCGAGAGTGATAGACGCCCTCTGACCACGTAACCTCCGGTAACAACTACTTACTATAATAAATTAATCCTTATTTTATTTCTATTTTTAATCCTTAGTGCTCCCATCACCCACCACGGAGTTAGAAATCCGACGGCGCGGCGAGAAAAGACCGATCCCGCCTGAGTTAAAAGACGAGAAGTACTTCGAAAGAAGACGACGTAACAACCAAGCTGCTAAGAAGTCAAGAGACGCGAGACGGATTCGAGAAGACCAGGTATTTTGTAAATAGAAATAGAAATACAAGGTGTTGTTTTAAAGCCGCGTCATTTTCTAGGAGGTAACACAGCTGTCGATTCTGAGTCCGAATCAATAAAAAAATTGTAGGTAAATACCTATTTTTCATTTTTCTGTAAATTACGGAAATCCGTCAGTGCGAATTACACGTCGCCGTCTTGTAACTAGCATTATAACGCGGCTTAACACACACAAACTCAAACGTATAATTGATAATATTCCTAATTCCATAAAACTCCAATAAGAAAGATTACTGTCGCTTATTCTGAAGCACTGTCGAACTTAAACGATTTATTATAGTCGTATTTTTCACTATTGGCCCGAAACTTTTTCTTACATTGAACCTTTATGACTTCTGTGACAGGCCCCCGAGAAATGACACGGCTTCAAAACTACACCTTGTAGAAATAATAGAATTTAAATAGAAAATGCGAAGGATTTCTGAATAGGTACTTACCTACTTAACTTTAAATCAGTACCGACAGACTAGCAGTTCACTGCGGACTAAGGCTAAGGACTAAAGCGCGATTTTCTTAAGCGCCCGCTGCAGAATGGAGGCGGAATTTTCAAAACGCAAGAGACCACAGTTTTCTGCAATCCCGCAGCTGCCGCGGTTGTGATTATCGCCCACAAACTTGGCGGTTGATTATAAGACGAGCGGGCGCGGGCGGTTAAACAATCAGTTGAGTTCCAGACCGGCCGTCCTATTGCGATCATCCGCTAACCGATAGCAGACCGCGCGGGTGCTAGCCGCGCCCGCCGGTGCAACGGGCAAATGTTATAATTTAAACCCCAATACTGAACCTCAATTTTAAGTTGTACTTAAATATCGTGCCATCTCTGTCATTTTACAAAGAATTTGTAGAGATATTTATTTATTTATTTACTTATATTTACGGAGGGCGCTACTGTGCCACGATAAACATCAGTTCCGTTTTTTAGTGCTAAATTAAAATATAAATAAGTGCTATTTCATATGAAAAATAAGTGTAATAGAACCAAGAACAAGTGAATATTGATATATAATGTGGACAAAAGCTAAGAATAGTGAATAACAAACTAATTTACATGCAAAACAGTGGAAAGAAATCTACTTAAAACCCGAACTATTTGTGTCATTTTCTGCATCAAATTACTATCAGTGGTTTTCAAAACAGAAGAACAAAGTGCAAAACGATAATTTACATCATTCAAGTGTATAACTCCCAAAACTCATTAAAATCCGTGAATGATTTTGCAATTTTGATCAATAAAGCAGCGCCATCTAGAGGAAATACTAAAAGATACTTGGATCATCGAACACCTAACAGCTGGCCCACCTTCTAGTACCACGCCAAAAAAAACAGAGGGCAGCAATAGCATAAAAGTTAAATTAATTTCAGCGCCATCTAGAGTAAATACATAAAGGTATTTGGACCGCCGACCACCAAATAGCTGGCTCGCCTTCTAGTAATACGCCGAACCAACAGAGGGCGGTACTAGTACCAAAGTCGAAATAATCTATCACTTTATTATCATAAATCTTCAAATACCTTTAACCGACAACCATGGAGGAAGTAATGAATATGCTGAAAAATATTCAAAATGAATTGAACGAACAAAAAGCAACTATTGTGCAATCCGCTGAGAAAGTTACGGAACAAGTAACGAAAAATATAAACTATACATTAGAAGAAAAGTTCAAAACCATGGAGGGAAAATACGAAAACCTCAAAGAAAAGCTGGAAAACCAAGGAAAAAAAATATATATTCTCGAAAAACAGTCAAAACAGAGGAATATTGTAATTTTTGGCCTACCTGAAGCTGAAAAATCATATAAAGATTTAGAAACAACAATACTAAGTTTCATAAATCAACATTTCTCTGCAGGACTAGAATTAAGAGATATACAAGAAACCAGAAGAATAGGGAAGAAAGGAGAAAAGCCCCGGCCGATCACGGTTACATTTACTACACTGGGCACGAGAATTGAAATTTTTAAGAGGAGAAATGTATTAAAAGACACCGCTTACTATATAAAAGAAGATTTTCCACGACATGTTCTAGAAAAAAGAAGAGAACTGCAAGAACAAGTAAATATTGAAAAAGAAAAAGGAAACTTCGCCACTATCAAATACGACAAACTGATAATACACAACAAAAACACAGATAATTCAAACATTAAAAAAAGGGCTCTACCAATATCACCAAATTTCAAAGATATATCGCAAACAGAACCAAAAGCACAGGCTAATAAGAAGAACAAAACTGGAATAAAAATACAAAGATCATCAAGCATATCAGAAGGGGTGATCAAACCAGGAATACTCAGTTTCCTAACAACTAATACCCGAACCACTAACAACGAAAACATTGTACCTAACGCCCAAATAAACCAAAATAAAAAACAATAACAATTACGGCCCTCTCTCACGAAGAACAAATTACAAACAAAGACGAATATCAAACCACATCTTCCAATCCGGCCGGTCACCGTGGAAGATTACGACCAAAACCCTCCAGAGAAAACACCAACAAGAATCCATCGCCACGACATCTTACATATAATGTCCTACAATGTTAAAACCCTATCAACTTATCCACGTCTACTGGAACTAACAGAATCCGTAAGAAACGTAAAATATGATATTATAGGTCTCTCTGAAACCAGGAGACTCGGCAATAAAATAGAAGAACACGAAGAATTCATTCTCTACCATATTGGAAGTACACCAGGATTGTATGGAGTAGGCTTTATTATCAAAAAACATTTAAAGAAACATATAATATGTTTTAAGGGACTATCAGAAAGAGTAGCGCTTTTAAAAATACAAATCAATAATTTAGACCTAAGTATCATTCAAGCCTACGCCCCAACAGAATCTGCGAAAAAAGAAGAAATAGATCTTTTCTACAATACTGTCGATAGCGCCATACAACTTTCAGGAAATAACCTAATAGTCATGGGCGACTTTAACGCCAGAGTTGGGCAACCTAGACCAAACGAAACCATCACGGGAAAATACGGCTACGGAGAAAGAAATAGTAGAGGAAGTCGACTCATTGATTTTGCGCACGCGAACAACTTAAGCGTTATGAATACTTATTTCAAAAAGAACAACAAACAGAGATGGACCTGGAGATCACCGAATGGTTATACAAAAAATGAAATAGACTTCATTTTAACAAATTTACCAAAAAATATAGACAACATACAAGTCTTAAATATCACTTACCCTTCGGACCATAGACCGATTAGGGTAACTTTCAATATATTCTCAAAACCAAAAAACCGTAATCAATTCGGCCAAAGCACCAGGTCACAGTTAAGGAACGAAAATGAAATACAAACTTATGTCAAATCACTAAACAGTTGTGTCACTAATCTGCTCGAAGACTGGGATGACGTACAGAATGGCTACGATAAAATAACAAACGCAATTAATACCAGCTTAAAAAAAGCACAAGAACTGTCATCCAACACCGCCACAAAGATAAACCAAGTTTTATCAGCACGTACAAAAGTATTAATCAGCAGAAGGCAAGCTTTACATAAGTTAAAACCGAAAACAAGAGCTATGAAAAACGAACTACGAGCTCTATATAAGCTCATTAGCAAACGTATCAATCAAGACTATAAGGCACATCGCACACAAACTATTGAAAAACATCTTCAGGTCACGGGAAGCGTCAAGAAGGCGTATAAAGAACTGAGAACACACAAATCATGGATTGAAGAGTTGAAAAATAAATCTAACAATACACAAAATCGAAAAGAAATACTTAAAATAGCAACAGATTTCTACAGTAACCTTTATAACTCGCCAAATCAACCACCATTTAAATTACCGAGCAATAGAGAGGAAGAGCCGAAAGCAACTATTGATGAAGACGAAGTGCTGAAAGGAATTAAATCGTTAAAATCAGATAAAAGTCCCGGACCCGACAGGATTAACAACGAAGCCATAAAACTAGGATGTAAACATCTAATCCAACCTCTAACTAGACTTTTCAACATGATACTGAGCTGCAAAAACTCTCCACGCCAATGGTCAGAGTCGGAAATCATTTTGCTCTACAAAAAGGGTGATCCAAACGACATCAGCAATTATAGACCGATTAGCCTACTACCTTCATTATATAAACTTTTTTCCTCCATAATAGAGAAAAAAATAAAGGAAACCACAGAAAAATTCCAACCCATAGAACAGGCAGGCTTTAGACGAGGTTTCTCTACGACTGACCATATACACTCGCTAGAGATGGTTATAGAAAAATTTCAAGAGTTCAACAGACCACTCTATGTCGTTTTTATTGACTATCAAAAAGCATTCGACACCCTACTTCACCCGTCGATCTGGAAAGCTCTACTCTCTCAAGAAGTAGCATTGGATTACATACAAGTCCTAAAAAACATTTATGACAAAAATACTAGCAGAGTCAAGCTAGAGACCACTGGGCCACCAATACAAATAAAAAGAGGCGTCAGGCAAGGAGACCCTATCTCCCCTACAATCTTTATAGCGGTACTAGAGTCCATCTTCCGCAACCTAAACTGGAAGAAAGCCGGCATTTATATAAATGGCAGTTACTTGAGTCATCTCAGATTTGCTGACGACTTAATTTTATTATCTGAAAACTCAAACCAGCTACAATTGATGATAAACTCTCTACACGAAGAAAGTCGAAAAGTAGGATTGGAAATTAACATAAATAAAACAAATGTTATGACGAACCACACTAAAATACCATTATATCTTGAAAACCTACCTTTAACCTATGTTGACACCTACATTTACCTGGGAAAACAAATCTCATTCAACCCACACAATAACGCAAGAGAGGTAGAGAGAAGAGTCAACATCACTTGGAAAAAATTCTGGAGTCTTAAGGAAATTCTGAAAAGCGATATGACCATAAAGCTGAAAAGCAAAGTCATGAATACCTGCCTACTACCCTCTCTAACTTATGCCTGTCAAACATGGAAATTTACAACGAAAATAAAAAACAAGATTTTAACAACTCAAAGAAGTATGGAGAGAAGCATTCTGAAAATTAGAAAAATCCAAAAAATCCGCCATATAGACATCAGACAGAAAACTAAAGTCATCGATGCCCTCAGTTACGCACAGAAATTAAAATGGCGATGGGCAGGACATGTAGCTAGACTCAGTGACAACCGCTGGACAAGAAAAACAACATCATGGTTAGGACCTTCAGGTCAAAGAAGAAAGGGTAAACCAAATGCACGCTGGACAGACGACATCTTAAAAATAGCAGGAAAAAACTGGATGCGAATAGCAGAAGATAGAAATCACTGGCTATCTCTGGAGGAGGCCTTTACCTTCCAAGAGAGGGGTTCTTGAAAGAAAAGGAGGAAAGAAGAAAGACTTTTTGTAACTAACGGATACTTAGTTTTCAATGTATTTTTTTTTGTTTTTATTTTTATAGCAAGAAATAAAAGGCTTTTTTATTTTTTTTTTTTTTTTTTATTTATTTATTTTTACAGGATTACCCAATGCGATAAATGCGAACTATTTAATCTTGACTTATTGCTTATAACTAATTACAAACAAAGCATTCCTTGTAAATTCACTCAGAGAACAGTAAAATAAGTCCGTCTCACTCGCTATGAGGTTGAGCGTGCGGAGCGTACGCGTCAGCGGCGCCTCCTTTAGAAGGTAAGGCTGGTTTTACAGTCACGCCGCTAGACGCGCCGTTGGACAGCGCGCTGTTGGACAGCGCGCGTTTGAACAGCGGTGCACCATAAAACGACATTAGTACGGCGCGTTTCGCTGCTGTGAGACAGTCGTGTACAAACAGATACAAAATGAACGGCAATGCGGTTAGAGTACTGGCTATTTACTTTTTATGGAAAAAAAGGCAACAAAAACGTCGAAGAACAGTAGGTGTTGATCCTTATAACGTTACAAGGTTACTGAGAGGCGAACACGTAACATCTTTCTCTGATTTACGAGAAAATAGTTATAAATTTATTTTTTGCGTCCTTATTCTTATAAAAATCATCGGCCGGGTCCCATAAACATCTTCTAATTCGCACTTCGTCAATTACTCGACCCGTATCGATGTGATTCATTTTGTACACAACAGTACCTAACGGCACGTCTCAACGGCGTGAGACTAAAACGCACAATGGCCGTAGAAGCGCACGAGCGGCGCGCGCTTCGACCGCGCCGCGCGAATAGGACGCGTTCAACGAACGGCGCTGCTCAAGCGCGCGAATTTGAAACGCTACTAATACCCCAATACATATCCGAGCGCGCGCGCTCCGACGGCGCTGCCGAAACGCGTGACTGTAAAACCAGCCTTAGTCCGAGAACGCGGTTCCACCAGCAGTCGTGGCTGTCGGCGTCGCCACACGTACCTGTCCGGAACATACAGACTCACCTGGCTTAAAATAATTGCATAATGCACTTTCCCTCTCAGCAATGTAAATATATATAAAGCTAATGCAAGATCCCTTCTAACCCTTAGCTCATTGAAAAGCGCTAAAGTGGCGTTTGGCTAAAGGCACTGTTTCTATAACCTATCTATCTGTAGATTTGCTTTCTAGAGATAGAATTTTGACAAATTTTGTATGGAGCTCATGTCAAAATTCTATCTCTAGTAAGCAAATCTACAGATAGATAGGTTATAGAACACATAACATAACATCACGCCTTTTATCCTCAAAGGGGTAGGCAGAGGTGCACATTATACCACTGTACAATGTAACACCCACTTTTCACTATTTATGTTATGAGTCCCATGTAATAGGGGGTGAGCCTATTGCCATATACCGGGCACAGTTCCAGACTCCGTGCTACTACTGAGAATTTTTTAAAAACCCAGTAATACTTTGCCCGACCCGGGAATCGAACCCGAGACCCCTTGCTCGGCAGTCGCAATTGCGACCACTCGGCCAACGAGGCAGTCTATATAGGTTATAGAAATTGGACGTTATTCACCTGGTGTCGGTATGGTAGCGCAACCAATTTGAAATATAGCCTTTTTGTGAACCTTTTTAAGTTTCTTCCTCCTCTTCTAGATAGCATGGCGTGCCTGTCTTCTAGAGCAAGAGAATGCATCCCTCAGGGCTCACGTGGCGGCTCTGAGGCAGGAGACTCTCGCGCTGCGCTCCCTGCTCGCTGCCAGAGACGAGCCACCGGCACCAGCACCATCATCCACCACTCCAGATTAAATAACTAAGATATTTATAGAGATAGAAAGATATTTTTTATGTGATAAATCGGTTAATGAGTTGACGGATCACCTGATGATAACACTTGAACAGAGGTGTGCGTTGCCGGCCTTTTGGGGATTAGGAATTTGATAATTGTTAGAAATTCAGGGATTGGAGAGATTGGGCCCGTCCATAAATTACGTCACACGTTAAGGGGTAGGGAGGGGGTCGACGAAGTGTGATATTATGTAACAAGGGGGAGGCAGGGATCCTAAACTTTGTGACGTCACACTTCAAAAAGTATTATAAAACACGAAAAATAATTATATTAATGTTTTTGACTGCCTCGTGGCCGAGTGGTCGCAAGTGCGACTGCCGAGCAAGGGGTCTCGGGTTCGATTCCCGGGTCGGGCAATGTACTACTAGGTTTTTAATTCTCAGTAGTAGCACGGAGTCTGGAACTGTGCTCGGTATTATGGCAATAGGCTCACCCCCTATTACATGGGACTCAGTACATACATAAATAAGTAGTGAAAAGCGGGTGTTACATTGTACAATGGCATAATCTGCCTACCCCTTCCTTCGGGGATAAAAGGCGTGATGTTATGTTTAATGTTTTTTATTTTGTTTGATTTGTTATTAATATTTTTTTAAAGTAATTTAAATTGAAACTGATTTCGGAACCGCTGTTTTCATTCAATAATTTTTATACATACGTAATTCAGCAAAATGTGACGTCACACTAGGGGGGGGGGGATCTCACAAATCTGATGACAAGGACGGGGGGAGGAGCAAAGAACATGAAATCCGTGTAACGTAATTTATGGAAGACCCCTTGGGTTGGGAGGTAATTGGGCCTCTGGTAACCTCACTCTCACGACGAAACACAACGCAAGCGACTATACTTGCGTTGTGTTTAACATGACGGCGTGACACAATTCACCCCGTTTTTGCTCTTTAAAATTATTATTATACGAACATTGTACGAGTTAAGCACAGACCATTGCCGTGACTGCACGCATCCCGCAGACGACCCGCGAGCTGTACTGTTGCCAAATGTGGACTCACCCTAAGTGTTATTTATTCCGTCCAAATTAAAACAAAGTGATAGTTTTAATAATAGGTAGATTATGTAGGTAATACTATGTACGTCCGTCCATTTTATGATTATAATGCTAGTCATGTAAGATAAAAGTTTATTGTTAAGTAGTACAGTCTTTACCATAAGGGTATTCGGGGCCCGTACCCAGGACTCCCATACCCTGGTAGGGGGGCCCGACAATTTCTACGACGGACACATATCCGCTACACGTTGCGTGGCAACCGGCTGCCGTGTAACTAGTGTGTTCGGCAAATTGTTGTTTCGGGTCTGGGTGTCATGTTTAGATATGTGAACTTGTATGTTTGTAATAGGAATGATGATGAATCCCAGTATGGGGCAAGATAAAAAAAAACAAAAACGCATAGTCTAAGACGGCCCTCAATGTGCAATGATAATATGCATATTATGGTAGACTAGCTTTTACCCGCGGCTTTGCTCGCGTCACAAAAGGATAAAAAGTAGCCTATGTGACATACCTATACCAATAAACACAGCGCCATCTATACCAATATTTTTGTTTTCCCTCGGAAATATCAAATTTTTCCGGGATAAAAAGTACCCTATTATTTAATCCAGACTTCTAACTTTACCTCTGCAAAATTTCATAGCAATCGGTTTAGTAGTTACGGCGTGAAAGCGGAACAAACAAACAAACTCACTTTCCGATTTATAATATAGTTAAGTAAGGAAAGTAATTATTTTTCTACACTGCAAAAATAAGTGCACCTTTTGTAAATAACTGCACCAAGCTGGAAGTCAGGTAATCTATAATCAGGTGCCTATGTTTTGTCCTAAAACACTATCATGGTTCCTATTTAATTAACATTACGTATTTTGTTGTATAAATGTGTGACATAAATACATGCACGTGCAATATTGTAGCTCTTATTGTTTCGCATATAAAACTTTTTTTATTGTATAAGCCGGTACACGAGCAGACGAATCACCTGAAGGTAAGCGATCGGCGTCGCTCATGGACACCTGGAACACCAGAGGCGTTACAAGTGCGTTACCGGCCTTTTGGGATTAGGAATTTGAGGATTGTTGGGGATTCAGGGATTGGGGAAGGGGAGGGTAATTGGGCCTCCAGTAACCTCTCTCACACGACGAAACACAACGCAAGCGTTGCTTCACGTCGGTTTTCAGTGAGGCCCATTCGTGCCGAAACATGGCGAGCCCACACTTAAAACATCTAGCTAATTATGAACAAAATATTTTTGGTTTAATAAAGATAGAATCTATATAATTGTCGTGAGACATACTAAATTAATTATTATGTTTTTCGGCTTTCCCGCATTATTATTTGACGAGGAACTCGACTAGTTTCAAGCTATGATAAACACCATAGAATCAGTAGCAACGGGACAGTCGCCGCGTCGCGGGTCGCGGAATGTTGAAACTAGTCGAGTTCTTCGTGAAATAATAACGTGTGTAATCCGAAGAATATAACATTTAGATTGAATCTGGTTTAACTTTTGGTGTGTGCTGAACGCGGGTCCACGCCAGATTCAATATATTTTCTATTTCTATTACGTCTCTTATCGGTGTATTCAACCGGAATACATACATACATTACATAGGTACGTAACTCACGCCTGTCTCACAAACACAATCACAAAAACTACAGGATACAATAAAAAAAACTGCGTTTAAAAAACCGACTTCAAAAACCTAAAACACACGAAAAGTAAAAACTAAAATACAAGAAATAACTATTATTGGTCATACGTACTTATAGCTTACACACCCACTGATAGGTAAGAAGTTGGGTACTTGCCAACTAGTCAATTCAATACTTTTTTCGACCTGTCAAAAACAACAGTTTTCTATGAATTTTGTACGAGATTGTGTATTGTGACGACACTTTTTTAGCGTCAAACAGCATACTTATTTCTTAAAATTTTTCAGGAAAAATACTATAATTAAGTTGGTCATAAAATCAATTAATGAAAGTGTGAATATTTTTGTAATATTTCATTGTATTGAACAGTCGATATAATTTATTTTTGATTAAGGGAAGCACCTAATTGGTACGATTCTTACATACCTCTTTCGCTTCATCAACTGTCATCAGTCTTTTCATGGTTGCTGGCACTTTTAATTTGGCCCGATTGGTCGACATAAGTCCGTCTACGGCACATTCTACCGACGCGACGGCCCGATTCATTTCCGCTCTGTATACTTCTTCTGTATTTTTTAATTACTTAGTCAAAATAAAGTAATTATTATAATTAGTTAGGTTAGGACATAGCTGAATAAGTAAAATACCTACTTATAATTTTTTAAGGGGAAAAAATCATCGAATGGCTGCTCCCGCCTTGGTGAGGCGGGAGGGAGTGTCAGACTCTTACTGACTAAAAACCACCCCATTCCTTCTCCTGCACGTTGAGCCTGGGCCCCGGTTCCCCGTTAGGTTCTCCGACTACCTACTTATAATAGATAGCTAAGTTAAAAATAAATTGTTATAATTATAGTTTACCTAATTAACACCAATATTGTAAGTACATGAATAAATGGTTATTTTTCGAAAGATTTTTGTGTTTTATTGATTTCTGTACGTTTTATTAGTTTTTGTTTTGGTGACTGGTGATTTGAAAGTGACTTCGTCTAAGTAACACTCAATTCTTACCTAAAAAATAAATCTACCAGAACGTTCCAAATTCTATTCAAAGAAAATTGTAGTAGGTACGTAATACGTAATTAATTTACTTATTGTTATATGGGACCCCTAGCATACCTAACTATTAATAACTGATGTTACTTTGTTCCGACGGAAATCAAAAGTCGGCGAGTTAAATGAAAACCAACTAAGGACATTGAAAAAAAAGGGAAAACTACTCACATTGAATTTTCCAGCTGAACGCCATCTTTTGACATAATATGGAAAATAAAATTTCACGTCGCATTCTAGATGGCGTTACGAGAGCAAGCATAACTTATTAGTTTTAACTAAATTATTTCCAATTTAAAGATAATTAGCAATTTAATTCTCAGTTCATCGACTTTTTAATTCAATAAAGATAAAAAACTTTAGTTACTTTTATATTTTTTCTTGTGGGTTACATAATCACTTCGTTTTCTTTGGCGGAAACTTGTCTAACAAATAATGTAGTGAATTCCATTGGTTGGATTAATGACGTCAAAACTTGAAAGCCAATGATAAATGAGGATGAGGTTATTATGCCAATGAAAACATCCTATTCGTAAAGAAAAAAGGAGAACATTCTAGGGCGCACGATTTATATTTTTCATGTTGGCAAGTTTTATTCTTCGAGGTGTGCTAGAAAAAAAAGTCAAAATCGTTCTTTCAAGAAGTTGCGTCACCCACATGTTCTGTTTGAAGTGAAATAAAGCCTGCAAATAAATTAAATAGTTGATAATATTGTCGCCAAAATGTTGACCGCTACGCGGGTGATTAGCCGCAAGGCTTTGGAGTGCTCCGGCTTTAGTTCAGACATTTACACACAGAGGAATTTCTCGTCAATCCTCAGAAACGTGAGTGACCATTTTACTTCAGAAAACGAATGAAAATCGTTTGTCACATTGTCTGAAAATGTCAAAAACTTAATAATTTCTAGTTCCCTACGGCATTTATTAATATTTATTTGGTTTTCTTTTAAATATTGGTGCCGGTTCGTAGTTCACATGGACCCGACTACTAAAATGTCTAGGTTAAAATTTAGCCATATTATCGTGCTTTTCAGACCGCAGCCCCCACTGTGCCTATTTACCAGCAACATGCTATCCAGTACAGGAACAAGTAAGTGTTAAAATATCGATTTTTTCTTGATATTTCATCATAACCTAACTTATTGCATATCTTGATTGACCTTTGTATGCATAATAAAAGACTGAGTTCAGCCGATAGGCCTCGACCTCCTTTCTGCAATGGTGTAAAAATTATCTATAGAACTTCACATTCTTTACATAAAAACTTGGTTCATTGACCTTTGGCAATGGGTCCCCAAGTTCTAGCTGAATAATCACATTTTATGGTCAATGGGTCTCCCTAGAGGTTTCCAATAAGAAATTCCTTTCTGAAACTAACCTCTAATGAGAAATGTAGTAATTCTAGGAGTTAAGTTATAAATCCCAATTTTCGATTTGGTCCACTGACCTAGTGTTATAATAATTAGGTAATTTAAATCACTGATAATAAGCTTGATAAAATTTGTAACCATTGAACTTGAATTTTGATAATCTTAGTACTACATTTTGATTTAATTTAGGCCTAAAACTAAAATGTGAGGTTAGAATACAAGAAAATGAAAAATGTTTAACTAAAATGTATGATTTTCTTGACATCTCCACCATAGAAGACTGTTCTCTGATATATAAAGCTATGCTACTGGCAGTATCCAGTCTCATTGTATTTATTTGTATGAAGAAACCAAACTGTCAAAGTAAAGATTCATAAGTAAAATACAAATGAAATTATTCAATGATAAAATAAAAAGAGTCATAAAAGAAAGTAATTTCACAATCTTCCTGCCTCTATTATATTTCTCACACAATCTATGCAATAAAATATATTTCCCTACTCCCAAGTAACAATTAATAGATACTGGTACAAACAAATATACGCCTAATGCCCGAATATTGAAAGGCTATTCAATTTTAACTTGTACTTAAATATAGTACCATCTCCGTCATTTTACAAAGAATTTATAGTGACAGAACTATATTTAAGCGTAACTTTAATATGAGCACGGAGTCTGGAATTGTGCCTGGTATATGACAATAGGCTCACCCCCTATTGCATGGGAGGCATAACATTAATAGTGAAAAGTACCTAGGTGTTACATTGTACAGTGGCATAATGTGCACCTCTGTACTCCTCCGGGGGTAAAAGATGTGATGTTATAATGATAATGTTAAAATTGACTGTTGTTTGAGTATTTCGACATATGATATCTAATATTGGCTTTATGATCATAGGTCAGAGGGAGTCCGTGGTGCCGTCATCGGTATTGACTTGGGCACTACCAACTCCTGTGTCGCAGTCATGGAGGGCAAGACACCTAAGGTATGACACTATATAATATAATTAACTTTATTGTTACACAATTATATGGATTTCTATATGTACAGAGGTTAGTACATAATTAATTATATGCAGTCTCATTGCTAAAAGCGATGTAGTAGATTGATGAAGTAGGCAACCTTTGAGGAAACGGCGCCATGAATTTAAGGAATTAGTCCTAATATTCTATTGATTCATTGTAGACTAGTTTCTGCCTGTGACTTCGTACCTCAATACCGTTTTCTCCCGTCCCCGTAGGATTTTCAGGACTTTTTTCTGTCATAAGAACCTTCTCCTGATGATAACAAACCCAACAAAAAAACAGCCAAATCGGTCTAGCTGTTCTCAAGGTATGTACATTATAAATGTGATAGTTTCTTTGTTTGTCCATCAATCATGCTGACTACTGAACGGATTTGATATACAGACGTAGACGATTTTTTTTATTTTCTCGTTTTAAATTGCAATACTTAGATAAAATGGCGCTAAGTTTAGGAGTGGGAAAAATACGTCTAAAGTTTTAAATGTACCAGACGAACATTAAAATAAAATTTGGGAAACTACCCTATTATGTGCATCTCTGCATCAGTTTCCTACAGGAAATAAGCTGTATAATTCTTACTATAATTTTATAACTACATAGTTACATATTCTCAAAGAAAAAAGTACAATAAATATGACATTCATTCTGTTTTGTGAATAAATTACCGCTGTTATCTTCAAGGTGAAGCTTCAGTTATTGTGTGGCGAGTACAACTTCTCACAGTTGTACTTTTATTTGTGTAATAATTTTAACAAGTTTGGTCATAGTCTGAAACTAAACGCTGTAGCGCTTCTTAGATTTTTGACAGTATCTGTAATAGCATGTAGACTTTTTTGAGGGGGAAAATCATCAAATGACTTCTTCCGCCTTAGGTGAGGCGAGAGGGGGGAGTTTGAAACTAAAGCAACTCAACTCAACTTCAAGCCAGAGCCCTGGTAACCCGCATAGTTGTTCGCAGCTCGCAGTTAGGATATCTGTCAGGAGATGGTGGCTCTTTTAGGTTCTCTGATGGCTTTTTGAGGCGCGTGCGTTCTGTAATCTATATCTTATACTCTTATTACTATTATATATATAAAGCGGAAGAGTTTGTTTTTTTGTTTGTTTGTTTGAACGTGCTAATATCCGTAACTACAAGTCTGATTTGAATAATTCTTTTTGTGTTGGATAGTGCATTTATCGAGGATGGCTATGGGCTATAAAATATCACGCTACGACCAATAGGAGCTGAGCAGAGCGTGTGAAACCGCGCGGAATTAGCTATTAAATAATAAAAATGAGTTTCCCTTCGTTAGTCTCGCTAAAACTCGAGAATGGCTAAATTGATTTGACAAATTTTGGTCTTGCAATGTTTGTGGAAGTTCAGGGCTGGTTTAAAAGTTAAGAAAATAATTTGTAGGTCGTACGAAAATTGCCGGTCAGCTAGTCTTCTATCTATAAACATAAAATGAAACCCGTTTCCCGTTGTCACGCCATAACTTGTGAACGGCTAGACCGATTTGGATGATTTTTTTTGTTGTTGTGTTTGTTATTGTCAGGAGAAGGTTCTTATGACAGAAAAAAGTCCTGAAAATCTTAAGGGAATGAGAGAAACGGGACTGCGCGTACTAAGTCGCGAGCAGAAGTTAGTATTACATATAAAAAAATGTATTTCTTTTGCTACATGAGTAAAAATGCGTGACAGTTGTCAAACCCTCTTTACGCCGTATTTCATCATAATCGGCTTAGATGTTTCGCCGTTAGAGTCGAACAAACAAACTTTCACAATGTTTTACAGTATTAGTAGTAGATTGATGACTGGCTTTGACTATTTAAAACTTCAATAACAATCATATTTGTGGTGTAAGTTATGTGACTATCAGGCCTTGTAAATCTTGAGTGGATAGGCAGAGGTGAACAAAATATGCTAGTTAAGGAGTAGTACCGGGATGACTGAACTTTGCTCTGTTTTTTAAGTAAACTACTTTTTCTGAAAATGAAACCTGAGCTAGGGTTCATTTGGAACCGTCTGAATACAAAATTTCAAGAAGAAATCGTTAGAGCCGTTTCTGAAATCTTTGATATATACATTGTATACAAGAATTGCTTGTTTAAAGGTATTATATATAGGTATTAATGGCGAGATATACACAATATTTATATCTATTCCATTTTCCAAACAGAAATCGATATCCTATACTCTTTGAACATACCGAAACCGAACCGGAATTTGAATCTTAACACCTTGCTTCAACTATTCAACCAACGAGATTGTCGTTAATTTTTCAGTCTCTGACGTAGGAGTCTGCGCAGTGACGTCACAGTTGCGCAAGATAGATAATAATATGGCTGTACGTCATATGTGCAAATTACTGTTGATTTAAACTTCATTTTTTATCATAAGTTTGGAGTTTGGCAAATAAGCCAATATTTCAAGTATTTCTTTTGTAAAATTATTATATGGGCCTCATAAGATAAATGGTGAATAGTGGGTGTTACATTGTACAGTGGATGTGTACAATGTGCACCTCTCCCTACCCCTTTGGGGATAAAAGGCGTGATATTATGTTATGTTCTTTTGTAAAATGCCTTTGTCGGATCTGATACCTATCTTATTTCTTGTCATAGAGTCACATAGGATTAATAATACAACCTTAACTGTCCAGTCCCAAGTGGTCACCAGTGACCGCTCTCTACTTACTCCATTATAGACCTTATCTCCGATGTTTAGAGACTACTTTTGTATGAACAATGATTGAGGATTTTTCATAATTGTGGATTATGAAGGTGCTTTTCCACCAAAAAATGTGCTACGCTACGTTGCTCTGGATGTGTTTGGCATCCACCAATTATATTCATTGGTACACCTAGCTTAGCTCTGGTGAAAACTGATTCAACTAAGATCAGCCAATCTTTTGTAATAAATAAGTTTATTATGGGACTGTTAATTGCACGGGCCTGCCGACGGCGAGCATGGGTAGCTCGCCGCCCGACTAGAACCAGACCCGAGCGAACTGCACGTCGCGTTCCGCTTGCTCCTCAAAGAGCCATCAGACCACCACGGATGGGGTCCAATAGGGCTGATGCCGATACGGAGCCGCGGAAGGCCTAACGGGTTGCCGGGGCTCCGGCTCGAAGGGCAGGAGTAGGAACGGGGTGGTTCTTAGTCAGTAAGAGTCTGACACACCCTCTCGCCTCACCCAGGCGGGAGAAGTCATTCCATGATTTTCCCCTTAAAAAAAAATGGGACTGTTAATTGGTGGTGGATATTTGTTTTTTACTTTTTTTGTACAACGCACCGCCGATCGGTGTCCGCGCCAGTGCGCGTGATACTTTTGCAGCGGTGCGAGAGCAGTCGCGGTACCAGCTAGTGGCGGGACTAGTGCTCGCCGCTTTCCTAGAAACCGCGGCACATTTATTTTTACATATTACAAAATATACACAGTTTTTATTTATGTATTTATTTTATTTGTAGGTTTTTCCTAGTGAGTAGGGGACGACTTAAAAAAAACTGTTATTAGACTTGTGTTCACCGCTTTACTAAAAAACCGCGGCACAGTTTTTTTATTACATAATTCTTATCTTGTTCCTTCGTACATTTTTTGATAACTTTCTTATCTATTAGGTATGTGTGTGTCGCTATGTGAGAGATATCTTTTTTTATAAGTTTCGTTAGTGTTAAAAATGAGGACTTTTGAATTTGACGCTTAAACCTTCATTTTGTCGATAACAAAATGAAGGTTTTTCGAAAGCATTCAGCTTATACCTTTTTTTAAGGGTGGAAAATCATCCAATGACTGTTCCCCCTGGGTGAGGCGAGAGGGAGTGTCAGACTCTTATTGACTAAAACCACCCCGTTCCTTCTGCGCTTCGAGCCGGAGCCCCGGTGACCCGTTAGGTTCTTCTTCAAATACACATAGACAATTTGTATTCTTTTTTAAACCATCTATTTATAGTTGACACTCGTTTGAATAAAAATAGAATGGTTTTTGTCACGTGAATCGTGGTACCTACTGTGACAAAACATTAGTTCGGGATAACTTACATAATTGTGTATGTAATAAAGTCGAAAACTGTTGAAAAGGTAGTCTCAGTATTTTTACTAAAAATAATTCGTATAACTTTAAAATTTGTCCGTGGCTTCGCCCTCGTGGTCAGAGATAATAAAGTAGCTTTCGCGGTAGACACTCTCCGGCCACCGTAAATGCGGGTCTGCGGACGGCGAACAAGGGTAGCTCGCCGCCTAGAACCAGATCCTTGCGTACGGCGGGTCGCGCGCGCCTGAAAGAGCCATCATACAGATGGGGCCCAGTACGGCTGATGCCCGATACGGAGCCGCGGAAGGCAGGAGTAGGAACGGGGTGGTTTTTAGTCAGTAAGAGTCTGACACTCCCTGTTGCCTTGCCTACACCTCAACTATACCATTTAAAATCGCCAATTAACTTAATACATTGTTCCCACGCAGGTGGTTGAAAACAGCGAAGGTTCACGCACGACCCCATCCCACGTCGCATTCAGCAAAGATGGCGAGCGTCTCGTCGGTATGCCGGCTAAACGCCAAGCTGTCACGAACAGCGGCAACACTTTCTACGCCACCAAGAGGCTGATCGGAAGACGCTTTGATGACCCCGAAGTCCAGAAAGATATGAAGAATCTGTCCTACAAGGTCGTCCGCGCTTCCAATGGTGATGCTTGGGTGCAGGGTAAGTGGAAAACTTAGTTACTATCTTAGGATTTTAGGGTGGCAAATAAGCCTGATGTGTTACCTGATGGTAAGCAATGTGCGCCGCCCATGGACACCCGCAACACCAACCTTCAGTAACCTCACTCACATAACATAACATACAACGCAAGCGTAATTTCACGAAGGCGTTCTATCGAGTATGACTCCGGTCGAGCTGACATATTCGTTCCGAAGCATAGCTCTCTTCCTCGTGGGTCAAAATTTTTATCGATAATTAATAATCTTGTTAGGTTTTTGTTATTTAATATTTATACAACGCACCGCCGATCGGTGTCCGCGCACTGGCGCGCACTGGCGCGTGACACTTTTGCAGCGGTGCGAGAGCAGTCGCGGTACCAGCTAGTGGCGGGACTAGTGCTCGCCGCTTTCCTAGAAACCGCGGCACATTTCTTTCAAAATTTTTTTGATATAGTATAATGCTATCATTAACTCGAGAGTCAATAATTGGACTGCATGGTTGGTGCGGTGGCTGGGAAACTGGCTACTGTGCTACGTGTCGCGGGTTCGATTCCCGCACGGAACAACTCTTTGTGTGATCCAGAAATTGTTGTTTCGGATCTGAGTGTAATGTGTATGTGAACTTGTATGTTTGTAAACGCACCCACGACACAGGAGAAAATCCAAATGTGGGGCAACGTTTAAAAAAAAATGTAAGCATAGACGAGAAATGAATAGATTATGTATTTACATATGTCTTTTATGTGACTGATTCGATTCGTAACTTGCGAAAGTATCGTACTACTTTCATAGAATATATTATATATATTGTTAGGTTTTGGATTTTGAAATTCTCATAAAAACAGCAGCTTGATGTCAAGTTTTAGCAAAAAACTGTCATCAAATTCTGTCACCAAGTTTTATACAGAAATCTTACTATTTACTCAATAATAAACATCTCCTACCCCAAACAGGTAGCGACGGCAAGGTATATTCCCCGTCCCAAATCGGTGCTTTCGTGCTGATGAAGATGAAGGAGACCGCCGAAGCTTACCTGAACACCTCTGTAAAGAACGCAGTCATCACCGTACCAGCGTACTTCAACGACTCCCAGCGACAGGCTACTAAAGATGCAGGTTTGTGATCATTTTATATTAAATTACTTACTTATTTTAATAATTGCTACATGTGATATGATTATTTTGGATTTTGTTGTTTTATTTGTTTGAAAAATTGCTGACTTGATGCATCATCAATTTGACTTAATTTGTATTACTTATACCTACTTATTTTAATAATTATTGAAAATGGTAATATGTTATTAATTGAATTTAATTCTGAAATTTATTTTTTTGTATTTTGCTGTGCCCAACGGGGTCCATAATTGTGTCCTAGCTTTAAGCCAATGTAACATCTTATGAAACATTATGGAATGCAAATAAAGATATGAATATGAATAAATCACGAGTGACCAACTTCAATAACTGGTCAATTTGCACATTAAATTGTAATACATTTCACGTTTATTAGGTTCTTATAACTTCTTGTCCTTTCGTGGAGATTTGTAATACAGGTATTTTACGCGTAACTGAGACTCAGCTCCTTGCATTGCGATAAATATAGGATTATAAATAAATTGTAAAGCCTAGAATCATTGTCTGTGGCTTCACATGTCAAATGACAGCCCAACCAACAACTGTTGGGCAGAAAGCTCGCTAGCCAGGATCACTTTGCCTGGGTGCTTACTCTTGAAACCAATGTCAATGCAATTTCAATCCAATAAAATCTCAATAATAATTCAATATCAACACTATACAACCACAATCGTCGCGATCGATTGACATTGGTATTGTGAAATTTCGTACTCTTGAGTTGTAACACTAGCGCCCATTGCATCCGTATTGCGTGGATATTGAATTAACTAAATGGTATTGAGTTTGGCTTTATATTCCGTACTCTGAATGATATTTCAATAGTTACGATAGGGGTTGTATAGTTTAGACATTGAATCATTATTGAGATTCTATTGGATTGAAATTGCATTGACATTGAGGTAGTTTCAAGAGTAAGCACCCTGGGTGTCATGTGTAGGTATATGAAATTTTAAATGCACCCAAAGTGCTAGTGTATAATTAATCAAGTTTGTTCAAAGAAAAATATTGGGTACAATGTCTATTTCGATGCGCAGGTCAAATTTCCGGTTTGAACGTGTTGAGAGTGATCAACGAACCGACCGCTGCCGCCCTCGCATATGGCATGGACAAGACTGATGATAAGATGTAAGTACACATTCATAATCTTTTATATATATAATTCTTCTGTGAGTGTGTATGTCACTGAACTTCTCTCAAACGACTGGACCGATTTTGATGAAATTTTTTGTGTGTGTTCAAGGGGATCTGGGAATGGTTTAGATTCACAAATCAGCCCGGCAGATGGTAATGTAGTCAGTGTCTTTTTTTTTAAGGGTGGAAAATCTCCAAACACTCCCTCCCGCCTGGGTGAGGCGGGAGGGAGTGTCAGACTCTTACTGACTAAAAACCACCCTGTTCCTTCTCCTGCACTTCGAGCCGGAGCCCCGGTTACCCGTTATGTTTGGTTATTTATCCTAAACGGTTAAACTAATTTGAATGAATTTTTGTTTATACATTCAAGTGGATATGCAGGACAACGTCTGTCGGGTCCGCTAGTTATAATATAGATGTTTTATAGGTACCATAACGAATTGTTCTAAACCTGAACTTGAGCATAAACACTTTTGGAAATCTCGAGTCACACTTCCTTGTTGAACTCATATTGGTCCTAGCATGATGCTTTATTTATAGCATAACATCATCATCGAAGGGGTAGGCAGAGATGTACATTACGGCACTTAATGCCACTGTATAATGTAACACCCACTTTTCACTATTTATGTTACGAGTCCCATGTAATAGGGGGTGACTCTTTTGCCATATACTGGGCACAATATGGCTTATAGCCTTCCTCGATTAATGTACTATCCAACACAAAAATAATTATTTAAATCGTACCAGCCATTACGGAGATCAGCACGTTCAAATATACAGACTCTTTAGCTTTATACAACAGTATAATATAAGATAATATTTTGTCACCAGCATTGCCGTATACGACTTGGGCGGTGGTACCTTCGATATCTCAGTGCTGGAGATCCAGAAAGGAGTGTTCGAGGTGAAGAGTACCAATGGAGACACACTCCTCGGAGGCGAGGACTTTGACAACGTCATTGTCAACTTCCTTGTCGATGAATTCAAGCGTGATGTGAGTATTTTAACTTGTAATGTGGCTAACTTTAGTTTCATATATTATAAAAGTAGACTGCACGGTTGCCGTGGGGGTTGGGCAACTGGCTGCCGCGCAACGTGTTGCGGGTTCGATTCCCGCACGGAACAATGCTTTGTGTGATCCACAGATTGTTGTTCCGTGTCTGGGTGTGATGTGTGTGAACTTGTATGTTTGTAAACGCACACACGACACAGGAGAAAGAAAATCCTAGTGTGGGGCAACATTTTTTTTTAAAGAAAAGGAAAACGAGCATCCTAACTGCTGACATGACAAACTTATCTTAACCTTGGAATCTACAACTTGGAATGAGCAAATAGCTTCACTTTTAAATTATTTGTTGACGTTTAAAAGTACCTTTTTGTGCCGTCACCGCGCTGGACGCGTGCAATAAGCGCGCGTATAAATAAATATTCGTTTTTGTACAACGCACCGCCGATCGGTGTCCGCGCCAGTGCGCGTGATACTTTTGCAGCGGTGCGAGAGCAGTCGCGGTACCAGCTAGTGGCGGGACTAGTGCTCGCCGCTTTCCTAGAAACCGCGGCACATTACTTTATTACATAACTAGCTTCTGCACGCGGCGTCGTCTGCGTTTCCGTCTATAAAACGTAGCCTATGTGTTATTTCAGAAAGTAACCTACCACTGTTTCTAATTACATCCCGATCTCTTCAGCCGTTTTGACGTGAAAGAGTAACAAACATACATACACACAAACAAATTTTCGCATTTATAATAGTAAGATGCAAAAGGTTTGTAAAATTGTGTATTTGTTCCACGGGAACCCGGGCGAACCTGCTGGCAGAAACTAGTTAATAAATATTAGTAAGATTATAGCTAGTCATTCGTTTTCTTAATTTTACCACCACCTTATGTTATAATTTATTCCCACAGCAAGGCATTGACATCCGCAAGGACGCGATGGCTATGCAGAGATTGAAGGAAGCCGCTGAGAAGGCCAAGATTGAGCTGTCCGGGTCTTTGCAGACGGACATCAACCTGCCATACCTTACCATGGACGCTTCCGGACCTAAACACATGAACCTCAAGGTAAGGTAATAGTAAATATAATTTTGTAGGCAATAAATGTGAGTATTTGATTGTATTGTCCATCGATACTAATGTTCAGTGGAATGATTAAAGGTGACTAAACTTTATTTATATAAAAATGCACGGCTGAGCGACAATATTTTCGGAACAGCAGCTGTAGCCAAATGCCATTTAGCGCTTGTCTACATGTAGAATAGAAAACTGAATTATATGGAATTGACGTAAATTTTGACACTTGTCAGTGTCATCCCCATACATTTAGTTTTCTAGTCTCTGTGTATACAAGCGCTAAAGTGACGTTTGGCTACAGCTGCAGGGCGGATGAACAAGAAAGCGGCATAGACAATACAAGGTGCGTTACAGGCCTTTTGGGAATTAGGGATTTGAGAAATGTAGGGGTTTCAGGGATTAGGGGTAATTGGGCCTCCGGTAACCTCACTCACACGACGAAACACAACGCAAGCCTTGTTTCACGTCGGTTTTCTGCTCGGCCGTGGTATCACTCCGGTCGAGCCGGCCCATTCGTGCCGAAGCATAGCTCTCCCACATTTGAATTGTAATTTGTGTGTGTAATTTATGTTTGTATACACACATGTTTTTTTTAAAGAAAAGAGAAGAATATCGTTTTCCTAAATGATTTCCGCATAAATGAAATGTTGGTAGCGAAAATTGATCAAATTGGAGGTTTCTTTGTTTCTAAGCGAGTTTCATTATTATTTTTATTTATTTATTTATTATTATATAGATATTTAACCCATAGATCCCAAGTGGTCACCGGTGACCGCTCTCCACTACCTACATTATATACCTTATTTCCAATGCTTAGAGACTACTTTTGTATGAACAAATTTAGGGGATGAATTTGAACGGGTTAAACAAAATTCAATCTATTTTTACAGATGACCCGTTCAAAACTGGAATCCCTGGTTGGTGACCTGATCAAGCGCACCGTGGCCCCGTGCCAGCGCGCCCTGCAGGACGCGGAGGTCCAACGCGCTGACATCGGAGAGGTGTTGCTTGTTGGAGGCATGACTCGTATGCCTAAGGTAAGGGAATTTATGTCTATGTAGTATTTTAGTGTTTTATAGGTGTATTTTTTATAATAAGAATTGAATTTGAATTGGGTAGTTTACAGGGTATTAAAATAAAAAATTTAATTAGTCCGTCAGTTAGATAATGAAAAAATATTAGACACATAGTTTTTTATTTTCTCGTATTAAGTTGGAGGTCGTTACGTCATAACGTGCTACAAAATGTGGCACGCTGTGACGTCACACGATATTTTAAATTAATATATCGTCGAAAGTTTTATTTAATTTTGTGAGAAAAGAAAAAATACGTGTCTAAAGTTTTAAAAGTAATGTACCAGACGGACATTACAATAAAATTTAGGAAATTACCCTATTAACTAAAATTAACCGTTTTCTTTAATATATTTCACGAGTTTGTTGCTAACCTTATTGAAAATTAAATTTATTAAGTCTTCTATATATTTTCTATTATTGAAACTGAAAAAAAAAAACTTAGCGTTGCTATCTAAATCAGAAAGTAGTTCGTCTATAAACAGACAGATGGCGTTGTTAGCAAAATTTAACATAAAATTCTACATCGCGCAAGCAAAGTTTTTACGTCAATTAGACTACGCATATTCCAAATGTATTATCTATTGTATGTAGTTTATGAATTAAAGAAGTCCATTAATCCGACAGTAGACGGTCCTGGACCCCTGATGATGATGCATTAGATGAGCACTTAGCACAAACCGATGTCAGTCCCCTATGGCTGACTAGGCAGTCTTTTAGACGGGTGCCAGAGTAATCTGGGGTTATATTCCCCGGTCGTGTTCATACGCGGTCGGGTTATACGCTCACAGACACTTTTTTTTGCTTACAAAATATGTATAACACAAGTCCTTGTATTATAAACTATGTATTTATGTACTGTATATTTATCTTTATAAATCTTTATTCATTATAAGAAACAGGGTAGATGACTAATTTTTATTTTAATGTCCGTCTGATAGATTATTTAAAAACATTAGACACGTATTTTTTCTTTTCTCACAGAAACGAATAGTTTCGAAGATATATTGATTTGAAATGTCGCGTGACGTCACTTCTCAGTACATTTTATACTAAGAAATGACGTTTTAGCCCCCACTCCTAAACTTTGATTCGTTTTATATAAGTATTGTTTTATTATACGACAAAATAAAAAAAAATACGTGTCTAATATTTTTTCATTACCTAACTTACGGACTAATTATATTTTTAATTTTCATACCCTGTCATCATCCCCATTGGTCATATTACAGATAAACATCTTAATTTAAAATCAGAGATCACACTAGGTTTAATGCCTGTACTAGGAAGAATATCCTGTATCACAGGCGAGAGGAGCACTTACAATAATACTAATTCTAGGACAAGTTATTTATATTTAGTTTTATAAGCAATGTTATTGTATTTTAAATATTTCAGCACATTTTTAACCTGAAACACAGGCTTGGGCCTAGTTCAGGTTTTACATATAAATTTTAGACTTTTTTTTAGATAGTAAGATTTATTTTGTAATCTGGCTTTTTACACCAAATAAACATTTTTATTATTATTAAAAAAAAAAAAAAAAAAAATATAAACAAATTCCGTAACATAAGTAATGTTTTGTAGTTGCAAACGTATTACGTGAAATAATTTAATAATAATAATCTAGTCATAAAATCCAGATAATATATCTACCAGAGCAAGATTGAAAATAATTTTTGTCAAATACACTGTACCAGTTCTAGAGACAGGCTATGGTGACATTTTTTGCCTGGTTGACCGAGTGGTCGCAAGTGCGACTGCCGGGCAAGGGGTTTCGGGTTCGATTCCCTGATCGGGCAATGTATAACTGGGTTTTTAAAAAAAATCTCAAGCACGGAGTCTGGAATACCTATTACATGGGACCCATAACATAAATAGTGAAAAGTGGGTGTTACATTGTTCAGTGGCATTAAGTGCCGTAATGTGTACCTGTGCCTACCCCTTCGGGGATAAAAGGCGTTATATAATGATATGTAAGTAAGATATATAATATACTAAAAATATCTAATATAAAATATCTTTTCGCTACCCCCAGGTCCAATCAACAGTCCAAGAGATCTTCGGTCGCGCTCCATCGCGCGCGGTGAACCCCGACGAGGCGGTCGCGGTGGGCGCCGCCGTGCAGGGCGGAGTCCTAGCCGGGGACGTCACGGACATCCTTCTACTCGACGTCACGCCTCTTTCCCTGGGTATTGAGACCCTCGGCGGAGTGTTCACTAAGCTAATCACAAGAAATACTACTATCCCTACGAAGAAGAGTCAGGTGTTCTCTACAGGTTAGTGTTGGGTGATTTTATTAATGAACTAGCTGTAGCTAGCCCGCGACTTTGTCCACGTGAAATATGAATTTTAGAACATAACTTTTTTGTTCAATTTTCCAAAATAACAGTAGCCTGTTACATCAGCCTGTTACTCCTTAGTATCTAGGCTATCTGCCAATGCACGTCTTGCAAAATAGGTCTAGCCATTCCAGAGATTTCCAGTACCTACAAACAAACAGACAAAAACTGTATAAAATTGTTATTTTCGTGTGTTAAATGTTCGTAGTAAAATGTCGTGTAATATGTAAAAAAAAATGTTTCAGCTTTGTCAATGGATTATAAAAAATATAAAATTATAAGGTTACCCTTAAAATTTTCTTGACACAGTATTCATTTCTCTACTTACGCAAAATTTTGTTCAATTTTGTTGATTTATCTTAATTTTTCGATTAAGTTAAAATCGATGTTTGACATTATGTCTATTGAATTTTTATCAAGTACTAGCTTGTGCTAATCCCGTTTCTCCCATTCCCGTAGGATTTTCAGGACTTTTTTCTGACATAAGAACCTTCTCCTGACAATAACAAACACAATAAAAAAAAATCAGCCAAATCGGTCTAGCCGTTCTCAAGTTATAGCGCGTGACAACGGGAAACGGGTTTCATTTGTATATACATATATTGACTTACCTTAGAAGAAGTAGTAATTATAAGACTTTTAAGAATTTATTTTGTTACTAATTGTAAGTTTTCGGTAATAAAAGGCTATTATTATTATTATTGTTATTATGTAGACTTACCTAAGAAACTATTAATTTGAGCCTAAAACCGATTTTTAACACTAATGAATTATCCCACAGCTGCCGATGGCCAAACACAAGTAGAAATCAAAGTGCACCAAGGCGAGCGCGAGATGGCGGCCGACAACAAGTTGCTCGGACAGTTCTCCCTCGTCGGCATCCCGCCCGCGCCGCGCGGCGTGCCGCAGATCGAGGTCACCTTCGACATCGACGCCAACGGCATCGTACACGTCTCCGCCAGGGACAAGGGCACCGGCAAGGAGCAACAAAGTATGTATTTACAATACCCATCGTGAGACTCTTACTGAATAAACTAAAATGACTTCACATAACATAACCTCGAAGGGGTAGGCAGAGGTGCACATTATACCACTGATAAATAAATCACCATTCCGCAATCGAGGCGGGCACGAGTGAAAATCGCGTCATGAGTCCTTAGCATTACTAATGTCGGAATACTCAAACGGTAGTCAATTTTAAGTCACGCTTAAGTATAGTTCTGTTTCCACAAATTCTTTGTAAAATGACAGAGATGGCACGATATTTAAGCACGACTTAAAATTGAGTAACGTTTCAGTATTCCGGCTTGCTTATACCGATAAGAAAGTCACCGTTTGTATTGCCTGCTAAAATGTCTTAATAAAAGCTACTCTATATCATTGACAACATATAAACTATAAAAAATATGAAGGCAAAATGTGGTAGAAATAACTTAAAATATACAACGCACCGCCGATCGGTGTCCGCGCCAGTGCGCGTGACACTTTTGCAGCGGTGCGAGAGCAGTCGCGGTACCAGCTAGTGGCGGGACTAGTGCTCGCCGCTTTCCTAGAAACCGCGGCACATTACTTTATTACATAACTAGCTTCTGCACGCGGCTTCGTCCGCGTTTCCGTCGGTAAAACGTAGTCTATGTGGTATTTCAGACAGTAACCTACCACTGTTCCAAACTGCCTCGTTGGCCGAGTGGTTGCAAGTGCAACTGCCGGGCAAGGGGTCTCTGGTTCGATTCCCGGGTCGGGCAAAGTATTACTGGGTTTCTAAAAAATTCTCAGTGGTAGCACGGAGCCTGGAATTGTGCCCGGTATATGGCAATAGGCTCACCCCCTATTACATGGGACTCATAACATAAATAGTGAAAAGTGGGTGTTACATTGTACAGTGGCATAATGTGCACCTCTGCCTACCCCTTCGGGGATAAAAGGCGTGATGTTATGTTTATGTTTTATGTGATGTTATGTTCCAAATTTCATCCCGATCCCTTTAGCCATTTTGCCGTGATTGAGTTATTTAAATAATATCAGTATGGTTTCAAGTGTAAGAGAGCCATGCTTCGGCACGAATGGGTCGGCTCCACGGAGTGATACCACGGCCGAGCAGAAAACCGACGTGAAGCAACGCTTGCGTTGTGTTTCGTCGTGTGAGTGAGGTTACCGGAGGCCCAATTACCTTCCCCTTCCCCAATCTCCCCAATCCCTGAATCCCCAACGATCATCAAACTCCTAATCCCCAAAAAGCCGGTGACGCACTTGTAACGCCGTTGATGTTCCAGAGGGCCAAGCACGAATAACTATCGCATTCGTATCGTAACAGCATCGAGCGAGTTAAGCGTTCTGATTGGTTGGTTCACTCGAGCCGGCCAATCAGAGCGCCGAACGCGCTCGATACTATTACGTTACGAATGCGATAGTTATTCGTGCTAGGCACTCAGGTGTCCATGGGCGACGCCGATTGCTTACCATCAGGTGATCCGTCTGCTCGTTTACTGGCTTATGCCTTAAAAAAAACTGATGGCAACTTTCATTAATATTAATTTAACCTTTTCACAGTCGTTATCCAATCCTCGGGCGGTCTATCGAAGGACGAGATCGAGAACATGGTGAAGGCGGCGGAACAATTCGCGGCGACGGACAAGCAACGTCGCGAGCGAGTCGAAGTCTCCAACCAGGCCGAGGGTGTGCTGCACGATACTGAGACCAAGATGGACGAGTACAAGAGCCAGTTGCCACAGGACGAGGTATGTAAACTTGCTGTTAGAGTTTTTTCTTATGGAATAGGAGGCAAATCAGTAGACGGATCACCTGATGGTAAGCGATCAGCGCCGCCCATGGACACCCGCAACATCAGAGCAGTCACAGGTCCGTTGCCGGCCTTTTAAAAAGGAGTACGCTCTTTATTTGAAGGTTTGAAGGTCGTATCGGTTCGGAAATACCGCCGACGACAGATCATTCCACAGTTTTACTGTGTGAGGCAGAAAGCTACGTGAGAAGCGCACTGTTGTGGCCTGCCAACCATCTATGTTAGTTTTCAAGATGACTCCGAAATTGAGTACTTTCCAAGTACATAGTCAAAATCGGAGCTTATTACGAACTAAAGTCAAAATTCAAAAATCATTTATTTCAATTAGACCAGGAAGGTACTTTTGAACGTCAGCTGTAGAAATTTAAAAGTGAAGCTATTCACTCATTCCAAGGTGTAGATTCCTATGGAGAATAAGAAGAACTATACAAAAATAATAGCTTCATCCGGCGTCATATATATAATTAATCCATTTTTAAAGCTATGTGTGACAATATTCTTATTCAGGTATAATAATATTGTTGTATTGTTTTTAATATTTTATTTTAAGCTGAGAAATCTGTAACAATCGGTAACAACCTTATTGTGTGATAAAATAACGACATAGATTATAATATAAAATAGATTATTAGGTACATTAAATAATTGTGTTTGTTCACATCCAGTGCGACAAGCTCCGCGGTGAGATCGCGAAGCTCCGCGATTTGCTCGCGAAGAAGGACAGCGCCGACCCGGAGGAGATCCGCTCAGCCACGTCCACGCTCCAACAGGCCAGTCTCAAACTATTCGAACAGGCGTACAAGAAGGTAAGCTCATTGATCCTACGTGCTTCTTAACCGACTGTAATAAAAAAGAGGTTATGATTTCCTAACTGTGCGTCATACATAGCATTTTAATTACGATATTCACACACATTCATAGATTTGAAAAATCAGTAATTTGAAGAATCGGTTATTTATAGAATCGGTCTTTTATAGAATCAGTCATTTGTAGAATCAGTCATTTAAAGAATTGTACATTTCGCGAATCAGTCATTCTTAGACTTAACCGTAATAACACCATTTTAAGTTGTGATCAGATATTTTTTATGTGATAAGCAGTGATCGGAACAGAGTTGGGCGTAATCAACTACTTTTATAATCGGATGAATAATCTGATTGAAAGGGCGTAATCAACTACTTTTGTAATCGGATTAATAATCTGATTGAAAGTAATCATGATTACATCAATCATGATTACTTTTAATCTTGATTACTTTCAATCATGACTACATCGTAATTACATGGGTAGATTTGATTAATTTTTTAAACATATTTTTAAGAGGAGTTGGGTGGGGTACGGGGTACGGCCGGTAAGCCAATCGTCCGCCGCCTGCACCCCGCTTCTTGCCATAGCGCAAGCAGCAGTCTGTATAATAGTGCGCAAGGATATAAACGTAAATTGATTCACGAGTCTAAACCGTGACGTATTGGCCTATGTGTTTCGGTGTTTAAACATTATTATTGTAAAATGGCGTCAAGTTCTTTTTCGTCTTTATATACTAATTCAGAATCTGAAACCGTGCACCATGAACAACTTGAGACATTACCATGCATTCTTGATGGAAAATTTTTTACGTATTCAGAATCGGAGTCTACGAACAAAAAGAAAGTGGCAATTTGTACATTATGTCGGCCAAAACTAGTTAAAATTAGTGGTTTTAATAATTCTACATCAAATTTTGTAACTCATCTCAAACGAAGACACGGGGAAGAAACACACAACGAGTATCAGAGTTACTTGAAAACTATGAAAAAAAATAAACGGTCTACTAGAACATCCAACCAACTGCAACCAGATATTAGAGATGGTAGTACTAGTGATGTACCTACTGACCGAACGATTTCACAGGACCAATTTAATGAAAATATATTTAAGTTTTTTATTCATTCTATGATTCCTTTACAAGCAATAGAGGATCACTTTTTAAAAAAAATCTTTGCTGATTTAAATATCTCTGCAAATGGATTGTACGTTCCCAGTAGAAGAACTTTGGGTCGATTGATTGATGATTACTTTAATAAGGAAATTACAAGAATCAAGAGTGAATTGCGCGATGTAGATGAAGTCTGCACAACTGCCGATATCTGGTCGGCAAAAACAAGAAGTTTTTTGGGAGTTACCGCACACTGGCTCGACACAAATCTGAAACGGAAGTCGGAAACACTGGCTTGTCGAAGATTTTCAGGTACGCACAGCTACGACCGTATAGCTCTTTTACTTGAAGCAGTACATGCTGAATTTGGTCTCGACTCCCGGAAAGTGCTGGCTACAGTTACTGATAACGGTAGTAATTTTGTAAAAGCATTTAAAGAGTTTGGCATAGACGTGGAAAATTGTGAAAATTTTACTCATAACATTGATGACAATTCAGAACCCGCTGAAAGTTCTATCCCCGAAGAAGATTCTCACATCGAGGTCATTTCTGTGGCACACTTTAGTACTTATAATGAAGTTGATCCGCTAGCTTTTGACGAAAATATTATTCTAGAATTGCCTGTACATTTAAGGTGTTGTGCACACAAGCTAAACTTATGTGCCACTACGGACGCCAATAAAGTATTACGAAATAACGACACAAGTATTGGCAATATTCATAATCAAGTTATTAAAAAATGCAACAACTTGTGGAACTCCGCCGGCCGGCCTAAATCGGCTGAAATAATACTTGACATTGTTGGTCATACCCTTTCCAAACCGGGAATCACTAGATGGAACAGCCTTTATGATTCACTGAAACAAATTGCGTCAATACAGGAGAAGAGCGTACAGCTGCACGTGGCGTTAGGAATGACAAACTTTTTACGTGATGATGATTTCCATTACATAAAGGAATACTTGCGTTGTTCAAAACCAATAGCAGAGGCCCTGGATATATTACAAGGCGAACAAGACATGTATTACGGTATATTATTGCCATGTTTAGTATCTTTGCGCAAAAAGCTCCAAAAACTGAATAGAGAATCTCTTACTTTTTGTCAAATGTTGGTAAAGAAATATTTGGAGAGCGTAGAAACGCGATTTGCAGAGTTTTTTGATTTCTCCTCAAAAATAGCTCAAAATGCAGCAGTTGCTGCAATGTCTTATCCCAGATTCAAGGACAAATGGCTCGCTTGTGTTAATATAGAATACCATTCCAGAATCAAATCTATTTTTAAAGGAGCTGTAATCAAGGAAATCCGTAAGGCACCTGAAACGCTTCACGCAGTCACACCTAATAATATATATGAAGACAGCTATTTTGAGTTTGACACTGATTCTTTAGAGCCTGATTCGGGAGATATGTACCAAATACAACGCTCAAAGGCAGATGCCATTATTTCTCATTTTTTAGCGGACCAGGATCGGGATGTATCGATGCTATATCGATACCCTGAAATTAAACGTGTTTTTAAAAAATATAACACACCTCTTCCGTCATCGGGTCCTGTTGAAAGACTTTTCTCATATGCGACCATGACCAATTTACCTAAATCACACAGACTTTCGGATGAGATGTTTGAAAAGAGGGTGCTTTTAAAATCTAATTTAAGCCACACATGGCACACATAAAAATAATTCTTGATTGTTCTCTTAAGTATAATAATTATTAAAAAACTGAGACTGATCAAAAAATAAAGATGATTTACAATGTTAATGATTTTATTTTTCGAATTCCTAAATGTAGTTAGTATGCATCAATCAAAAAAGTAATCATAATAACGATTTCAAACTAATAATCATTAATCACCGATATGATTAATTTCCGTAATCTGTAATCTTGATTGATGATTACAAAATGTAATCGTAATCCTTAATCATTAATCTGATTACAATTTGCCCAACTCTGGATCGGAATAGGGTATATTTACCTACAGTTTGTAAAACAGAGTCAAAAATCGGAGAATTAATAATTAAAGTTCTAGTAAATTTACTGGTAAAAAAAAATGTTTGTTGTATGGAACTCTCCGATTTTGACATAACATCACGCCTTTCTCCCCCAAAGGGGTAGGCAGAGGTGCACATTACGGCACTTAATGCCACTGTACAATGTAACACCCACTTTTTACTATTTATGTTATGAGTCCCATGTAAGAAAGAAGAAGAAAAGAAAGAAAAATCATTTATTTGGCAATTACACGCACAGAAAACAAAGAATATAAAAAAATAAAAATAAGTACATCTACAGAATACATACAATACATACAGAATTTTGAATAAACAATAAAAAAAAAATCTAATAAACAAAATAATAATATTAATTTTAATTTGCGCGTGCTAATGCCAAAAGGGCCTCCACCTCAGCATAAAGTTGGACGTTTGTGCCCAACGCTGGTTTTCAGGTGGCACCCTGCAGTGACTCACGGACAGTAATAGGGGGTGAGCCTATTTTGACTCTGTGCTAAAAACTGTAGGTAAATATACTCACCCTATTCACTCACACGATGGAATATAACGCAAGCGTTGTTTCACGTCGATTTTCTAATCGGCCGTGGTATCACTCCGGTCGAGCCGGCCCATTCGTACCGAAGCATGGCGAGCTTAAAGTTCAGATATCCGTTTACTCGTATAATTTATAAAAAAGAGTTTTTTAGCAATTTTTCTGCAGTACTGTTGCTTTACATAACTTTTGAAGATATAATTGGTTGTATCAACGAGATACGCATATTGAGCGACCGAAGGAGCAAAATGTTCAATTCGCAATACTTATTGTTGTTCATTTTGAATTGCAAGATCGCCTCTTTGAGGGGCTACAAATGTTGCTTGCTATTGGGTTACATTCCCGAACTAAGCAAAGTATTATTGAACCTTTTATTTCGTACTTTGCCCAGCTTGTATTATGTGTTTACTTACGTACATAATATATTTTTTTATGAACTACAGTTAAAAATAACTATTTAAAGTCATCTTTTTTTGAAGTCTGTTAATTCATATATCGCACCGGTGCAATATCGTCACTTATGCAATTTTTGTCAAAACTTAACTGATTATGAATAAAAATTGACTGTTACCTATCTGATCATAATACGGCTCAAATTGTTACTATACAAGGAGAAATAAAACACCGATTGGATCACTATTTCATGGTTATTAATGATTTAAGAAAATGTAATATCAGTAAATTTATTGAGTGTATAAGTTGTCTAAGTTTCAGTGAAATTTACAATTCGGGGAATACTAATGAAGCATTCAATGAGTTCCATGAACTATTGAACCTCTTCTATAAATTATGCTTCCCAAATATAAAAATTAAAAAGAAACATATTAATTGTAATAAATGGATAACAAAAGGAATTAAGAATAGCTGTAGTACAAAAAGATCATTAAGGCATAAATATTATTTGAATAGAAATAACGTAAATAAAATGAAGTATAAAACATATTCAAAACTGTTAAGAAAATGCATGAACAACCTACAGTCAATATGCAACCATAAGCACATCTCGTACTCTCAAAATAAAATTAAAGCCACATGGGATGTAGTAAGACGCAATATGGGGAACGAGTCAGTAAGAGAATACATTGATAAAATTGTTGACAATCGTACAACATTGACTTCAGGCTCCGATATTGCAAATAAATTTAATACATTTTTTATTGATACTGGGAAGAATAACTATTCAATCTCTAACGGTAGTGGAACTTCTATACATAACATAGACATTCACAGTAACAGTATATTCCTTGAACCTACGAATGCATTAGAGATCCATCGTATCATAATGTCACTGAAAAACTCAAAGTCGGCAGGGTACGACGATATAACAACAGAACTACTTAAATCTATATCCAAAAATATTTCTGAACCTTTAGCCCATATTATTAATTTATCTCTGCAGCAAGGATGCTTTCCAGAAAGATTAAAATTATCATTGATAAAACCATTACATAAAAAGGGCTCAAAATTAAACGTAGATAACTATAGACCGATAACACTCACTCCTGTGCTTTCTAAAGTATTTGAAAAAGTTCTGTATAGCCGTGTTCTAAAATTCCTTGATAAACATAATATACTAGACAGCCGACAGTATGGATTCAGGCAAAATAAATCAACTATGCTAGCGATTTATACATTAGTTAAAGCCATTATTAGTAGCATTAATGATAAAATACCTACCTGCGCTTTGTTTCTAGACCTGAGTAAGGCTTTTGATCTTGTTAACCATGACAGACTTATAGACAAAATGGAAAAATATGGTATTAGGGGTCCAGCCAAGGGTTGGTTTCAGTCCTACCTATGTAACCGAAAACAAATTACAAGAATAACCAAGTTTAATCAAATAACCAATTGCCTTGAATACTTTGATTCTAATCCGGATACTAATGACTGCGGCGTTCCACAAGGCAGCATTTTAGGACCACTACTGTTTCTTCTTTATATAAACGACCTGCCAAAATCAATAAAGCATCAATGTGTCTTATTTGCTGACGACACTACAATAATTATTAAATGTAATAATCCTGAAAACTATGACATTGAAACTAATCAAACTTTGAACGACGTAATACAATGGCTAGATTTTAATAAACTGAAAATAAATATTTCTAAAACTAACTTGCTTCATTTTAAGACGTGGCAAAGTAAACCTATTCGCTTTGATGTGGTATATAATAATAGCAAGATTGATCAGGTTAATACTTCGAAATTTCTTGGAGTAACATTGGATGAGTGTTTTACTTGGAAAAACCACATTGATATCATTTGTAGGAAAATTAATCAATTCGTGTTTGCATTACGGAAAGTAAAAGATGTTACGTCTCGGCAAACCTCCTTGATGGTGTATCACGCCTACATCTGCTCAGTGATTCGTTATGGTATAGTGGTATGGGGAAACTCCTCCGATATGGAGAGAATATTTATTGCTCAAAAAAAATGCATTCGGACAATTTTTAACATGGAGTGGTCGGAATCTTGTAGACCTATATTTAAGTCACAGAACCTTTTAACGGTACCGTGCATATACATTTACGAAGTTGCTAAGTTCTTAAGATCTTATCCTATGCTCTTTCAACCGAAAGATAACACTAACAAAAGAAAGGTTACACATTTGGCATATGAAATGCCGGTTCCCAAACTGCAAATCTTTCGAAAGAGCTGTGCTTATATGACCCCTTTAATATATAACGCACTACCCAAGCATATAACACAACTTCCCTTTAAAAAGTTTTGTAATGAACTAAAAAAATGGTTGGTACAGGAAAGTTTTTATTCCATTAACGAATTTTTTCACAAATATCCATGTAAGAACTTTAGTCTTGACTTGGCATCTAAATATCGGTATAAATAAGCCAAATGTATGAGAGTTCAAGTCCAAGTCCTAGTAATTTCAATTATGTTTAATATAATGCTATAATAAAATAATTACTAGTCCATTAGCAAATATTAATTTCCTATTCTATAATAAGTAGTAAATATTACTATTGTTATGTATAAGACAAAAAAATCTACCTGATTTTGTTCTATGTATTTTGTAATTTAGTGTATTGTGTACTAAGTCATCAAATAATATTGTATGCTAAGCCATTGAAGTAACCATATAAAATTTGTTAGTTTCAGTATAAGAAAAAAAAATTTTAGTAAACAATTTAATTGAACAATTTTAGTAATTTGCATGCCGCAATGACGGCGAAACATGTTGGTCTTTTTTTTTAATTTTTATACAACATCTCTGTATTTACCGTGTTTCTGGCAAATAAATATATTATTATTATTATTATGTGTGTCTTTACCATTCACGGGACCACAGGGTCCCGGTCATTTGGGAGGCGTACGAGGGGCCGAAGCCAACTGCGCAGAGGCCCTTTAGACAACTTTAATATAAATGTAATGGACACACAAACGGCGACTATCCCTGTTTGCACTATGGAAATGCACCCAAGGACAGTCCCCGGTTAGTGTAGGACTATTGTGAATAATGGAAAAAAAAAAGGTAGGGCTATGGATGGGTTGCTGTGGACTGGTAAATTAGGAACTATGGATGACTATGGCACCTGCCGAAACAATGTAATTTTTACACGTAAAAATGGCAGGCGGAGACTCGCCAACTCACCGACCGGGCCCCGGGAATGGTTGCTAGATATAGCAACAGAGGGGCAACGAGAATGTGAGTGGCTGAAGGGTTAAGAAACTACCACCGCTTTCTACTCAGATCATCTGCTCCAGCCGAAGCCTCCTGCATCCCTGGCCCACTCGCGACTTACGAATAGTTTCTTACCCTCCGAGCAGGATCACTGCTCTCGCGACTCCACTCTGGACGGCCAATGAAGGCAAGCCAGAGGTGGGAGACCTGTTCCTTGTCATCATTCACTCCAGCCAGCCAATTAAGGCAAGCCGGAGAAGAAGGAACGGTGACCTCTCCCTGGAGCACTCGGGATGATGGTAGCCCGCGGGATCGCTAATGCCCGTCACCTCGCCTCAAGGTGCCCTGCGGGCTTATTATTATTATTATTATGAAAGAATACTCCAAATTCACCTCGTTACTTGGTGCGTTATTGTCATTTGTGTAGTACGCAAACTGTCTTCGTGAGGGATTACTGTCGTTACGGTTTTGGCGCTAATCTGGTCGGGACTGGGAGAAACAACGTTTCATTGTTCAGTTGCGTGCGGGCCTCCGCAATACATAAGTGACGTTATAGCACCATATATACGATATTAAAACCTTCTCTTAAACTGTCAAACACCAAGCGGTCACCGGTGACCGCAACCTATTGTTCTTTAATTGTGTCTATAAAACCGGTACTCGACGAGTTAAGGGTAACAAACGCTTTTATGACCACACCACATTAAAATCGGTTCAGCCATCGCGAAATAATCACGCACAAACATAACCTTTGTTTTGAAGTCGGTTAAAAATTTGTTTTTCATGTACCTTTGCACACATTTGAGCCTATTCGCTGTCTTCAAAGCGAGTCGGTCAAGCACGTGTGCTACACAAAAGTAGACTTTATAACCAACCCGCTGAGATATCATTTAGCGATTCAGTTATATTCCCTACTACATAGATTTTTTTTAACAATTAGACTGATTGTTGTAAGACTTTAAGGTACTTTGTATTTAAACTTGTATCAGTATCAGTTTGTACTGGCTAGTCTCTGGAATGGCTGGACTGATTTTGACGGGACTTTTTTTGAAAAGAGTAACTTAGGGGACTTTTTCCACGCGGCCGGAATACGCGCGTACAATAACAAGAACAAATTTCGTAATAGTGTCATGATATAACACATCGTACTTTTCCACCGACAGATGGCAGCAGAACGCGAAGGTCAACAGCAGACGCAGCAAACTGAACAAAGCCAGGAGAAGAAAGAAGAGAAGAATTAAAGTGCAAACTAGATGGACAGGACTCCATAGTGTACAGACAGTAAAGATTTAATTACGTGGCGACATTATTATTACGTCACAACACCCAGAACATATAACCTATATGTCTAAAATGGCTACTAGAGATAAAATTTTGACATGTTTCTCGATTTATGTAGTGCTTTTTTTTTTGAGGGGGAAAATCATCGAATGACTTCTCCCGCCCTGGGAGGGTCAGACTCTTACTGACTAAAAACCACCCCGTTCCTACTCCTGCTCTTTGAGCCGGAAGCCGTAACTCGTTAGGCCTTCCGCGGCTCATTTATGTAGTGCTAGCTTCTTCTAGCGTTGTCGTACCCGTTCCCTGGGACAGAGTAGCCTATTGTTTGTTCTTAAATTGTTTTGTTCTTAAAAACAACGTTGCCCCACACTAGGATTTTCTCCTGTGTCGTGGGTGCGTTTACAAACATACAAGTTCACATACACATGACACCCAGACCCAAAACAACAATTTGTGGATCACACAAAGTGTTGTTCCGTGCGGGAATCGACCCCGCGACACGTTGCACGGCAGCCGGTTGCCCAGCCACCGCACCAACCGTGCAGTCGAATGTTGTTTACAGTGTTTACTATGTGTCATTTACAGACCATATTTTACCCCTGTTTCAAATTTCAACACAATCCCTGTTTTCACGAGATTGAGTAACAAACACACACACAAACTAGCAGACTCGCATTTATAATATTAGTTTCTGCCCGCGACTTTGTACGCGCAATCCCGTTTTCTCCCGTCCCCGTAGGATAACACAAAATGATTTAGTGAAATCGGTCCAGCCACACGCGTTACCCCGTGACCAAAGGAAAAGGGGATTCATTTTTATGTATAGATATCTTGCTATAATAGCAAGATGTCAATATGTTATATCTCTAGGAACTGAATGGACATATAAGTTATAGGCTGGCTCGTCATTCGTGCGAAAATCCAAATAGGTTTTTCGCGCATACTTAAATTTGTGGCTAAAAATGTTTATCTTAGTCATCTTTTCAATATGAAAACGAAGCATTTATATAGTTGCAGAATATACCGTAGAAGCCGATAATATAAAGAAAATTTATTGTTTCTCAATAATTAGTTCTTTTTACTGTGATTCAGTTGCTTAACCCTTTGGTCGTGGACACCGGTGACCGCAACCTGTTCTTTAATTGTGTTTATAATGACGGTACTCGAAAGGGTTAATTGTGTCTATAATGACGGTACTCAAAGGGTTAAAGCATATATTAATAATTGATCTTAGTTCGAAATTGTCTTGGTCAATTTACTAGGTTTCATTCGAAATGATGTGAAAAAACCAAGACGATTTTAAAATAAGATCAGTTTGTTCTTTATTAGATTGTCAATCTTACATTTTCGAAGATGTATTAAAATAATTTCTGGCAGTTCCTTACCAATCAAAATATTCGCTATAATAATAATGTTTGCACCTACAAAATGTGTTTTGTGTAAGAGAGTTTTGAGTGGTTCTATCAATGTTCAATTTTTTGTGTGATTTTCATACCAAAATAGCCATGAATTCAGTGTTTTAAGGGCTCAGTAGGCTTACTCTTGAAAATCCAATAAACTCTCAATAATTATTCAATGTCAAAACTATACGACCTCAAGTAACTGTTAAAATAGCATTCAGAGTACGGAATATAAAACCAAACTCAATATAATTTAGTTCATTCAATATCCACGCAATACGGATGCAATGGGCGTTAGTGTTGCAACTCAAGAGTACGTCACAATATCAATGTCGATCGATCGGAATTGGATTCAAGAGTAAGCCCTCTGATTGGATGGTTATCACGTGATAAACGCCTATCATTGGTCTTATTACTCCATACTTTCTTAATCTGTACGCTTGATAGTATAAATTGGTAGAAATGTTAATTTTAAATATGTAAGATTTTGTTTAAAAAGTGTCCTAATGCAATATAAACTTTATTCCTATAGTTTGAGGGTAGTAAGTGGTGTGTTTTCAACAGAATCTTGCATATTTTTGAATTGTTATTATAAAATTAAGATGTATGTATGATTTGTGTTCATCATTACATTTGTCATTGCGCAGTTAGGCAGTGCCTATTCGTTAATCTCCCATCGATATCTATTTTTCATACTTTGATCCAATTTAATAATACTTTTTATTGAAGAATTACAACTATAACGTTGATTAACTAAAATTGACGGGTGTTTTTATGAGACAAGCCCGCCACAACCTCCTTAAATTGTCAAACACCAAGCGGTCACCGGTGACCGCGACCTATTGTTCTTTAATTGTGTCTATAAATACGGTACTCGACGAGTTAATTGTGTCTATAATGACGGTACTCAACGAGTTAAACCGCTGCAAGTCCTGTACACCAGGATCTACAGTACATAAAACCATGATAACGCCGGAACACTGAAGTCCAGCGCGTCCCAGCGACATGAATAACTATCTTGGTTTCCGCAACGAAATAAATCAGAAGATATTATAAGTGGAGAAGAGTAAAAAAAACGATAGTTTTCACTTCCCTCGGTGAATATATGTAGGAGGCAGAATGACTTAAACTGTCAAACACCGAGTGGTCACCGGCGACCGCAACCTATTGTTTTTTAATTGTGTCTATAATGACGGTACTCAAAGGGTTAAGCCTGAAGGCACTAAAGAGACTGCACGACTAGGAGAAGTCCACAGAAAATTTGACATACTAAAGTCTAAATGACGGGTCACTCACGTTAATATTCTGAGAAAAGCTCTACTAGTTTCGAGTCACAGAAATACTCTTTCTCATCAGCAACGTGGGCTTCGATTGTGTTTTTTCGGCTTTTCGCAAAAATACGAACTGAAAAAGTGGGTGTTACATTTTATGTCGCCCACTTTTGCCTAATAAAAGACAATATTAACACAAATGAAGATTGTAATCATTGAACCAATTTCAGACGTGGGTTCTCAAAATAAATATTGTTAAATTGGATCTGTATGTAGAATGGTATTCATACAACATTGTTGTAATAAAATATTACTTAAATATATTTTATTATACCAAGTCTTCATCCCCTCATCATACCGGAAATGTACTATGAACTGTAAATTTCCAAAACAGTCGAAATAATACATTTTCCTCATCACACACGTAGTAGCCATTATTAAATTTAGATATTAGAATAAAATAAATTTGTTATTTAGTGTACAAGTGGCTGAAGGTTTCTCTGTAGTTATAATGTGACTTGCAGCCCGTTTTTAATAATTAAATTATAAAATAATTATTATTTTGGCCGTTTTAGTCCTTTTTACCCCACAATCTAAGGATGATTTTAGTGTCACGATGACATTAGCGCTAGTAGCTCAGCGTATAGTTTGACAAACTACGACCAAGCCGTAGGTTCAGTCGTTGCTCGCTTCTAAAACGATATATAGAAGTTCATACGTTCCGACTGTCAGCGCCACTCTCAAACCGACCTGAAAGACGTCCTCTGCTGAAGATAGGCCTCCCCAATAACTTACAGATCGGCCGGTTGGAAGCGACCTGCGTCCAGTGAGTCCCTGCTATATTTATCATCTAAACAGTTTTGTAACTGTAATAAGTAAGTTTGATCGCATTATCGCCCGTTATTGGTCAAGTATCTCACAATGACAATGGTGATTGAGTTCACTTGGATAATTTAGGCATGGTAATATTATCATACAGTATTCCAACTTCATACAAACGGACGAAACGCAAGCTATGCCTATGCGCCTTGATCGTGGCATGCATGCATGAAACTAACAAACGAACTTTGCAATAATTAGCACATAAACTGTCTTGCAATTGACGAAAATGTCAACCGAACTTGTTGATCTATAAAGCTAGCCTTTGCATGCGGCTTTGCCTGTGTCCCTCTGAAATGTCACAATATTTTAATTTGAAGTGATCTATTACCAAACTATATTTTGAAAAATATGCATTTATGTTTTACTAGCTTTTACCCGCAGCTTCGCTCGCGTCACAAAAGGATAAGAAGTAGCCTATGTGACATACATCAATACATACAGCGCCATCTATACCAATACTTTTGTTTTTCCTCGGGAATATCAAATTTTTTCGGGTTAAAAAGTACCTACCCTATTATTTAATCCGGACTTCTAACTTTACATCTGCAAAAATTCAAAGTAATCGGTTTAGTAGTTACGGCGTGAAAGTGGAACAAACAAACAAACTCACTTTCGGATTTATAATATTACTAGCTTTTACCCGCGGCTTCGCGCGCGTCACAAAAAGATAAAAAGTAGCCTATGTGACATACACCAATACATACAGCGCCATCTATACCAATACTTTTGTTTTTCCTAGGGAATATCAAATTTTTCCGGCTTAAAAAGTAGCCTATTATTTAATCCAGACTTCTAACTTTACGTCTGCAAAATTTCAAAGCAATCGGTCTAGTAGTTACGGCGTGAAGGCGGAACAAACAAACAAACTCACTTTCCGATTTATAATATAAGTAAGGATATAGTAAGGATAGTATTTCGAAAAGCCGCCAAACTGTTTATTCATTGTCCCTAATGTTCGAATACTCCTATTGGATTGAATTATTATATTTTTGTCAGGTTTTCAGAGCCAACACCTTAGCTCGTTGTTTTAAAAAAATTGTTGGTAATAGTGAAACAAGTGAATTTATTTCTGCAAATAGGCTACAAGGCAGCACTTTTACACGTCAATTTTGTCAAGCGAACGATGAGGTCGACATTTCCTAACTGACTACTCTGAGAAGAAATGCAGAAACAAACTCAGAGGTCATATAGTCAATAGAACTTTGTTGTATTTTTTTCTCTGGTGTGTGGCAACTAGCTCAATAGTATTATGGACTTAGAACAGAGGCGCATTAAACCTAAAGAGCGTTCTAAGCAAGTACATCATAGGCGCCTTATTTTTTAGCGCCGCCGTCACTCTATGGGTCGTCTCGTGGCGCCCAGCTATAACCTGGCGCCCTAGGCACTTGCCAAGGTTGCGTTAGGGAT